AGAAAGCTAGAAACATCAATGATGAGAGAGAAACATCGATCGGCTGCCTTCTGCACACCCCCTACTGGGGATGTGCCCACAACCATGGTACATGCCCTTGACCGGAATCGAACCTGGGACCCTTCAGTCCACAGGCTGATGCTCTATCCACTGAGCCAAACCGGTTAGGGCTGATCATAGCTATTTGTTAGCTAATTTTTAGCCTTCAGCTCTCATCTCAAAGGCCACCTCCTTAGGGAAGTCTTTCTTGAGGACTACTAGGTAAAGTCCTAGGTAAGTTACTGTAAAGGATGCCTTCTTCTTGGCTTCTATAGGATTATATATTTGTAATATCTCTGCTGCCTGGACTATGGACTCCATGAGGGCAGGATCTCTCTAGCCTTGTCCAGTGCCTGGCACCCCGTAGGTGCTCAATAGAGGCTGTTGAATGCGTAAACAAACATTAGGCAGTAGCACAAATCTTAGGGCCCCTGGATATACAGATGAATGACAATTCTCCGTGACGGTTTCCAAACTTGACAGCTCTGTATTCTCTGAGCCTGGTTCACGGTTAACTGCTATCTAACAGAATTGTGGCTTTCCCCCTTCACAAACGACATTTTTTTTAAATATTTTATTGATTTTTTACAGAGAGGAAGGGAGAGAGATAGAGAGTTAGAAACATCGATGGGAGAGAAACATCGATCAGCTGCCTCCTGCACATCTCCTACTGGGGATGTGCCCGCAACCCAGGTACATGCCCTTGACCGGAATCGAACCCGGGACCCTTCAGTCCGCAGGCCGACGCTCTATCCACTGAGCCAAACCGGTTTCGGCCACAAACGACATTTTTAAAGGTGGTAGAGGAACTCCTTAAAAATCAAAGACCCAAAGAGATGGTCCTGTCCTCTGAGAACAGGCAGTTGGACTAGTTTATCCAGCTATGACTCTGTGCTGACCCATCGTACGTGATGCCCCTGCGGTCAGTGGCACACACGTGAGAGATGGCCCAGCCGGGCGTATCGCTCAGTGTGGTGGCTCAGAATCACCAAAGCTGACTGGCCCCCAAGGGAATCAAGTTCATGGCTATGGACTTCAGCATCAGCAGTATTATCATCATCGATGGAAATGATTCAGGTTTCATCATCTTATTTCAGACTCTTGAAATAGGAATGTCTAGATTTCGAACTTGTTGAGGTCCCTTCTCTTCAATTATTCATGTATTGCATACACTCAGAAAATATTAATTGAGCCCTTGCTGTGTGCCTGCCACAATGGGAGGCTCTAAATTTAGCGCAGGACGTGAAGCACGGCAGGCCTTCCATCACAATGGCGCTTAGATGGATGGTCACATGTCATGAGAGGTTTCCAAAAGGAGGGACTTGAACTTGCTTTAAATCAGCCCTAGGAGAAGCACCCTCCTCTCTCAAGCCTGTTTCTCTCAACTGGATTTATTTTGAAGTGTCAGTGTGCTTTTAGTTTGAATGCATTTTTAAAATCAGAAGGCCGGTCAAAGGTGGCTCTAGACAATCTTACATTTGAGATGTGTAAGTATTTCAAAATGAAAGAAGAAAGTGCAAAATTTCAGTGTTTATTTAAGGTCTTAAAAATGCCTATAATGTAAATATACATATATACACACACACTCTCTCTCTCTCTCTATCTCTCTCTCTCTCTTTCTTTCTCTCTCTGTCAATATAGATTGCAGTTGAACTAAATTCTTTCTGGTTCTAAGAGACCAGATGCTATGAATTTTCTTACATTACTTTAAAAATAACCCAATAAGTGTTCAACCGTAACTCCCACGTGGAAAAAGTGACAGATGACAACCCCTCTTCTCAGAGAAGTAACAACCTCAAGATGGTCGTCAAATGGATTATTCCACTTGTCCATTATTTATGTAATTGGTTAATTGGGTGAGTCATTATTTAAAGATAAGGAGCTAAAATAAAACTTAAAAAAAGCCTTAGGCTACTCAGAAGCAGTGCTTAAAGGAAGATATCACTACCTAGGTTAAGACAATCCCAGATGCTATAGGATTCTTATCCCCATGGTTGTGGGACAATCCTGTGATGTCGGTTCTAACCAAGGAAAGGCTTGGTGAAAATCTGAATGGTTCATGATATGAGATTTTACTATTGAAGGAAGTGGGCTGCACATTAGAGACACAGAGAGAGGTATCCTATATAATAAAAGGCTAATATGCAAATTGACTGAATGGTGGAATGACCAGTCACTATGACGTGCACTGACCACCAGGGGGCAGATGCTCAATGCAGAAGCTGGGCTCACGGCTGGCAAGCGCAGCAGTGGTGGCAGGAGCCTCTCCTGCCTCTGCAGCAGCGCTAAGGATGTCTGACTGTGGGGAGCGGCCCTAAGCTGTTAGTTGGACATCCCCTGAGGGCTCCTGGACTGCCAGAGGGTGCAGGCTGGGCTGAGGGACCCCCACCCCAGTGCACGAATTTTGTGCACTGGGCCTCTAGTAAATGTATATTTAGATTATAGGCATTTTTAAGACCTTAAATCTAAAAGTATATTAGGTTGAACTGTATGAAAATTTTTGTTCAACTTTCAAGCAATTTATTCCATTGTGGATACCAAAGTACAGTTTTGTAGTGAAGAGCATGGGTTCTGAGTCACGTTTCCCGGTTTGTACCTGGGCAACCTCATTGATTTGCTACGTGTCCTTCGGCAAGTTGTTTAGTTTTTCAGCGCTTTTGTTTTCTCACGTGAAAAATGGGATGATAGTGATTCTCACCTCTGAAGCTTAAGAATTAAAGAATGCTCGTAAAATGCTTATTAGCACAATGCTTGGCACATAGTGACTTTTCAATACATGCTACCCATTAGCACCTTACCTGGGCATCATGAGCAATGGATGTCAGATATTGTGGGATTTGATGGGTTAGTGCAGTGGTCGGCAAACTCATTAGTCAACAGAGCCAAATATCAACAATACAACAATTGAAATTTCTTTTGAGAGCCAAATTTTTTAAACTTAAACTATATAGGTAGGTACATTGTTATTAACTTAATTAAGGTACGCCTGCGCCACGTCTCCCATCGCCCGACTGACCAACACTTCTTCTAACGTCACTTCTTCAAAATAGACTTGCCCAGGCCGAAAACCGACTTCTGCGCATGGGCCACGAAGTTTCAATCGCACTGTACGTGCGCGCCTGCACGTGGTATTTTGTGGAAGAGCCGCACTCAAGGGGCCAAAGAGCCGCATGTGGCTTGCGAGGCGCAGTTTGCCGACCACTGGGTTAGTGTTACTGTTAGTGTTAATATTAGGGTTAGGTTTATTCCTTGGGAGGGAAAATTGGCTTTGGTAATGCTCTCTAAAATACCCCTTTCTTGATCTTGTATGTATATATGCATGGCCCATGGACACAGACAGTGGGGTGGTGAGGGCCTGGGGCAGGTGTGGGTTGGAGGGGGCCAATGGGGGAAAAGGGGGACATATGTAATACTTTCAACAATAAAGAATTATTTAAAAAATAAAAATATTTTATCTTAAAAAATAATAAAATATCCCTTTCTTTTAGCATTTTCCCCAAGGTCCTGCTCTTGGAGCCCACACTGACTTCTGATCCATCACCCCAAGACTTTCTGTTCCCCAGTTTTTCTCTTCTTTAGCTTGTTTTTTTCCATTGCTGGTCAGGTGCTTCTTTGTGAGCTTGAAAAGTGCCGACTCATGACTTATTCGCTACTTCAGAGCCATATGTTCCATTTTATCATTGGCATCCAACTCATCTATCTGACCTTCACCACTTTATTCAAAATTCAAGCAGTCAGAAGCAAACACCTTTCATCTCCTCACATGTTTGCTTAAAAGCTCAAAGTCAAAATGTCACCACGGCGTCTTAAGATTTCTCAGACTATTTTGCATAAATCTACCCAAGAGAACAGACATATACACTGGATCTATTAATGTCAGGATAATAAAATTATTCCGAGTCCACTTTGATGACAATAAATATTCATAAAAGTTTCTTTCATTGGAAATTATTCTATCCTGTCCCCGGAGCTTTCTTTTGAAACAGATGTTCCGTCCATCCAGTTGAATGTTAACTCAAAGACATATCAGAAAAAAAAAAAACCAACAAAAAAACCTCTTTGAAATCAAATTTATTTTGATGTTAAAAAAATTTTTTTTATTGATTTCTGAGAGGAAAGGAGAGGGAGAGAGAGAAACATTAATGATGAGAGAGAATTGTTGATCGGCTGCCTCCTGCAGGCCCCCACCTGGGGATTCATCCCCCAACCCAGGCATGTGCCCTGACCAGGAATCAAACCATGACCACCTGGTTCATAGGTTGATACTCAGTCACTGAACTACGCTGGTTTCATTCTTAGACAAGATTTGACCCCTTTTATGGGTGAATCAACACTTCAAAAGGCTTCTCTGACCCTGTTCTTTCTCCCCTTATTCTTTATCTCACTGATTCAATCCTCATTCATTCACCATGGATCTGAATGTCTCATCAAGATTTCCTACACCTTCCACATGAAGCACCGGCATTAGTAAATATATTTACTAGTAATTCTGAGAGTGTTTGTTAGAGTTTTAGCAGTTTGTAATCCTCTTCTCTTTCTCTTTGTACTTCCAGGGCATAACCTTCAGTAACAGAACGAATCAGGCCACTCAGCAAGCTGCCAGTTCCTGCCAGTACCTTGTTGAGGAGCCCAGCTGGACCCATTTCTAATCAACACCAACCCCCTCACCCACACACACACAAACACAACATCTCTGGGTCACTGAAGGAAACCAGACCAGAATTTGAAAAATTTCAGACTTCCAATAGACATTGGGTGCAAAAGGATACTTAGGTTGCCTTGCACAAATCTGCTCTAACTGAGGGACATAGCGGGGAGAATACAGGTGTTATTTTTACCTAAGAAGTCACACAAACACATTCTCCATTTAAACCTCTGCACATAGAATGGATGATGGTTATTGAAACAGCTCGAACCTCTACCACGGTGCACAAGATATAGCTTGAGAGGTGACCAGGCAGTCGCGGAACCAAGGAATGGATGCTTATAAATATCAGGACAACTATGAGGGCTATGCCCACACGGACGGCTATTATCCCGGCAATGAGTCCAACCCAGAGGAGGATGCACAGAGCGATGTTACCGAGGGCCATGACGAGGAGGATGAGATCTATGAGGGGGAGTACCAGGGCATCCCTCACCCGGATGACGTCAAGGCCAAGAAGACCAAGATGGCGTCCTCCAGGGAGGAGGACCTTCGGGGCCAGGCAGACCTGATGGCTGAAAGGATGGAAGACGAGGAGGAGTTGGCTCATCAGTATGAGACCATCATGGACGAGTGTGGCCACGGGCGCTTCCAGTGGATCCTGTTTTTCGTCTTGGGTTTGGCCCTGATGGCGGATGGGGTGGAGGTGTTTGTGGTGAGTTTTGCCCTGCCTAGCGCCGAGAAGGACATGTGTCTGTCCAGTTCCAAGAAAGGAATGCTTGGTAAGTGGAAATTTCCAAAGATCATTCTCTTCCTGGCATTAAAATACGAAGGGGAAAGAACAGTCAATTTATGTAGCACCTGTCGCTGTTAGGCACCTTAAATCTTTAGTCATCATATCCTTTCAACATTATCATTTGACACACAATTTGCCATGATGGTGTTTTTTATCTTAGAGAAATTAATTAATTGGCTCACATTTAGACAGCTAATGAGTATTGGAGCTTGGAATTCAGCTTTGTTTGATTCTTAAGCTCTTAGTTCTTTTTTTTAAAAAGTATATTTTATTGATTTTTTACAGAGAGGAAGGGAGAGGGATAGAGAGTTAGAAACATTGATCAGTTGCCTCCTGCACACCCCCTACTGGGGATGTGCCTGCAACCAAGGTACATGCCCTTGATCGGAATCGAACCCAGGACCCTTGAGTCCGCAGGCCGATGCTCTATCCACTGAGCCTAACCGGTTAGGGCACGCTCTTAGTTCTTATTGTTGTTGTTGTTGTTGTTAATTCACACCCGAGGATATTTTTCCATTGGTTTTTAGAGGAAGTGGACGGGAGAGGGAGAGACACACAGAGAGAAACATCAATGTGAGAGAGAGACATCAATTGGTTGCCTCTCGTATGTGCCCTTGACTGGACCCTTCAGTCCTCGGGTTGACACTCTACCCACTGAGCAGAACTGGCTAGGGCAAGCTCTTAGTTCCTTTTCCAAATCTTGTGCTCTCCTTGAGAGTCTGAGTTCTCTCTCCTTCATATATATATATGTATTTACTCATTTCAGAGAGTAAGGGAGAGGGAGATAGAGATAGAAACATCAATGATGAGAGAGAATCATTGATTGGCTGCCTTCTGCATGCCCCTTACTGGAGATTGAGTCTGCAACTGGGCATGTGTCCTAACCGGGAATCAAACCGTGACCTCTTGGTTCATAGGTCAATGCTCAACCACTGAGCCATGCCGGCCAGGCTCTCTCTCTCTCATATTAAACCATTTTCCATATCCAAGTGACAAATACGTTTTGTGAGTGGCAGGCCAAGGTCTCTTCTACTCTGTGCTTTCCTCTGTGTCCTTCCAGAATCCACTCTGCTGCTGATTTCTCTTGTATGCAAGTCTGAGTAGGCCCAATGCCCACATGTCTTGGGGATAGATGCTGGGCTGAGCACACCCACGGAGCCCCTGCAGGCTGTTGAGAGTCATGTGGTGAAGCACAGATGGATTCTGCAGGGTGGAGACCCAGCTTGCAAATCAATGAGATGTGAGCACCCTCAGAGCCAGCATCAGCCATCAGGTCTTGATGCAGCGAGGATTTTGTGAAATCTGAGAAAGGAATGTGGCAGAGAAGAGGTTCATCAACATATGAACAAGGATTTGTCCTGGTCATTCAATGTCCTGCAAAACCCATTCGTTCTCCAAATGTAGAGGCTGTGCCATGGATCCGTTAGCAAACATACAGTTATTGAAAGCTTACTAGGAGTCAGGTTCTGACTCAAGACTGAAACCTACATAATGGCCCCCAAGAACTAAAAATCTATCTAGCAACTTGGTTTATTCATTCAACAAGTAGTTGCTATTTGTATTCTATATGCTCATCTCTGTGTCCAGCCCCTAGGGAGAAAATAAGGAACTAGATAGACATGATCCTCTCAGCGAGCTTACGTAGAGCAGGTATTAATAAACACAGAGACTTAGTACAGGCTATGAAATACCTGTGCTATTCTGGTCCCCAGTACTTGCTTCCCAGCAGTGGTGGCAAACATGTTTTGTAAAAGCCCGGATAGTAAATATGGTAGGCGTTGTGGGCCCAGATGGTCTCTGTCACCACTAATCAACTCGGCCTCTGTAGCACAAAAGCAGCCCTAGATAATATGTAAACAAGTGGGCGTACCTGTGTTCTAATAAAACTTTATTTACAGAAAAAGACAAAGGGTAGGATTTATCCTATAGGCTGTAGTTTGCTGGCCTCTGATACAGAGTCATTACAAATAAAATTAAGATAAAAAAATTTTAAATCTCCATAATTATCCCTGGAGGGAAAAGACATTGAGTATACACAACCAGAAGTAATGACTTGAGAAGCAAGGCTGTCAACCGGAGCTTTTAAACACCAACATAATTTTAGTAGTTTTTTTGGTTATTGTTTGTTTATTTATTTTTAATCCCCATCCCAGGATATTTTTTCTTTTTTGTCTTTTTTAAAATTTTTTTTTTATTTTTTAGAACAACATCCTAGTATGGGATTAGGTGCAACAGAGCCCTCTTGTGGAAATTCTGAGAACAGCATGGTAGTGTGGGATTAGGTACAATAAGGTTTTTAAACAATGAGCACTTTTTTTTTGCTTTTTTAAAAATTGTTTTATTGAATGAGCACTTTTTAAAACAGTAATTATTACTGTTCTCAAACACTTTCATACACAAAACACACTCCTTAAAACAAGAATTCCAACTGTTCCACTTTCCTAAACAATAAGTACCTCTTAAATCAAGAATACAGTATTTTCAAACACTTTTCTACACAATGCCCTCTCTTTAAAACCAGGAGTCTACATGTTTTGAAACACTTTCTTACGCAACGCGTAGCTTTTTAAAACATGAAAATGAGAGTGTTCCAGACAGAGTTAGCTAGTAGTGTTTATGAGTATATTGTTTATGTGTTATCATAGAGTAATACGTGCTCTATCTATTGGTAAGATGGTACACACTTTGAAGGAATACATAGATTAACCCAGTGTGTGGAAAGCTATTAACTTCAGTGAAATACTGTAATATAATTTCATTTACTTGGGGAGCTTGCTGGAGCATTCATAGCACAATTAGGATATGTATCATTTAGTAATTATAACTATGGTGAAGCAGTTTACTGAAATCCAATGCGGTAAGAATGAATTCTAAGTGTTTTCAAATACTTTCCTACACAATTGACAGTTCTGTAAATGTGAATTATAACTGTTTTCAAACACTTTTCTACACAGTTTGCAGCAGTTTAGCAGTGAATTCTAAGTGTTTTCAAACGCTTTTCTACAGTTTTCAGAGTAATAATTATAAGGATGCTCAAACGTCTGGATAAGAAATTAACAAACATGTGTAAGAATCAAGAGGAAATGAAGAATGACATAGCTTCAATAAAGAACACAATGGACAGTTTCAACAGTAGACTAGAGGAAGCTGAGGACCTAATCAGTGAATTAGGAAACAAGGTAGAAAAAAAATCCAAGCAGAGCAGCAACTGGAAAAAAATTAAAAAGCAGGAGGAGAGTCTAAGGGAGTTTTAGGATAACAAGAAATGAAACAACATCTGCATAATAGGGGTGCCAGAAGGAGAGGAAGCTGAGCAAGGAATAGAAAACCTGTTTGAAGAAATAATGACAGAAAATTTCCTTGACTTTGGGAAGAAAAAAGTCACCCAAGTCCAAGAAGCACAGAGTCCCAAACAAAATGAACCCCAAAAGACTGACACCAAGACACATTGTAATTAAATTGGCAAATGTCAACAACAAAGTAAGAATCTCAAAGGCTGCCAGAGAGAGACAGAAAGTTACCAACAAGGGATCTCTCATTAGACTATCAACTAATTTCTCATTAGGTCAGAAGGGGATGGGATGAAGTATGCAGAGTTATGCAAAGCAAGGGACTGAATCCAAGAATACTCTATCCAGTAAGGCTATCATGCAAAATTGAAGGTGAAATCAGGAGCTTTGCAGTAAAAAAAAAAAAAAAAGACTAAGGGAGTTTATTACCACCAAGCTAGCAATGCAAGAAATGCTAAAGGGACTGTTATAAAAGTAAAGAAATAGAAAGCGAAGAAGTAATACAGGCATAAAGAATAAAAACGGCAACAAACAAGTACCTATCAATAATAACCTTAAACATAAATGGATTAAATGCTCTAATCAAAAGACATAGGGTAGCTGAATGGATAAGGAAACATAACCCATATATATGCTGTCTATAAGAAACCCACCTTAGCCGAAACCGGTTTGGCTCAGTGGATAGAGCGTCGGCCTGCGGACTGAAGGGTCCCAGGTTCGATTCCGGTCAAGGGCATGTACCTGGGTTGCGGGCACATCTCCAGTGGGAGATGTGCAGGAGGCAGCTGATCGATGTTTCTCTCCCATCGATGTTTCTAGCTGTCTATCTATCTCCCTTCCTCTCTGTAAAAAATCAATAAAATATATTAAAAAAAAAAAAAAAAGAAACCCACCTTAGAACAAAGGACTCACACAGACTGAAAGTGAAGGGATGGAAAAAAAAAATGTTTCAGGCAAATGGAAATGAAAAAAAAAAAAGCTGGAGTACCAATACTAGTATCTGACAAAATAGACCTCAAAGTGAAGGCCATCCCCTCCGCTCTCTTTCCCAACAGGGATGATCGTCTACCTCGGAATGATGTCGGGGGCCTTCGTCCTGGGGGGCCTGGCTGATAAGCTGGGGAGAAAGAGAGTCCTCAGCATGTCTCTGGCCCTCAACGCCTCCTTCGCCTCCATCTCCTCCTTCGTGCAGGGTTACGGAGCCTTCCTTTTCTGCCGACTCATCTCGGGCATCGGGTATGTAGTCTCGGCGCTTCAGCTGGACCCTCCTGGAACAATGGTCGGTCCTTCCTGGAACTCCAGCTCTGAGCCGTAGCTCCAAAAATCCTGGGACTGGGTGTTTGTCTGGATTCCAAGATACTGTATTGAAGTTACCCTTAGAAAGTTATCCTCAGTTAAAGTCAGTATAACATGACCCTGTCTCTGCCAGGCTTTCTTTCTTTTTGTTTTTTAATCCTCACCTGAGGATATTTTTCCATTGATTTTTAGAGAAAGTGGAAGCGAGAGGGAAAGACAGAGAGAGAAATATTGATGTGAGAGAAACACATCGATTGGTTGCCTCTTGCACGCGCCCGACCATGTCCCGGGCCAGGGAGGATTCTGCAACCGAGGTATGTGCTCTTGACCGGAATTAAACCCGGGACCCTTCTGTTCGCAGGCCGATGCTCTACCCATTGAGCCAAACTGGCTAGGGCCTCTGCCTGTCTTTCAATCCACTTGGTTCTTTCACCACAGAGCCTATGGGTGGGGTAGAGGCCGCTTGGTTTCTGCTGTGACCAGCGGTTCTCAACCTGTGGGTCGCGACCCCTTTGGGGGTCGAACGACCCTTTCACAGGGGTCGCCTAGGACCATTGGAAAAACACATATTGAATATATAATTACATATTGTTTTTGTGATTAATCACTATGCTTTAATTATGTTCAATTTGTAACAATGAAAATACATCCTGCATATCAGATATTTATGACGATTCATAACAGTAGCAAAATGACAGTGATGAAGTAGCAACAAAAATAATTTTATGGTTGGGGGTCACCACAACATGAGGAACTGTATGAAAGGGTCGCGGCATTAGGAAGGTTGAGAACCACTGGCTGTGACCATTTTTAGTGTGTGACTTGATTCTTTCCTTCTGGCATTTCCCCGCCCCCCTGCAGTATTGGTGGAGCTCTGCCCATTGTGTTTGCCTATTTCTCTGAATTCTTGTCTCGGGAGAAGCGAGGGGAGCACCTCAGTTGGTTGGGCATCTTCTGGATGACCGGGGGCATCTATGCGTCTGCCATGGCTTGGAGCATCATTCCGCACTATGGTGAGCGCTTGCTTCAATAGCCAGGGGCCCTGTTACTATGGCACCTGCACCCAAACGACATCTCCTCATTCCCCATGCTCGCACGCAGTTCCTGGGTATGACCCAGATCTTCCTAAAGAACTTCCAACCCTGGAGACACATTGGCTAATTTCAGTACGTGTTTCAGGAACTAATACAGTCTGTCCTCTCTCCCGCCCACATCCCCTTCCTCCTCCCTAATTCTCTCCTTTCCTTTTCTTTTTTCCTTCTTTTTTATTTGAAAGAATTTCACCTGTAATCTCCTTCAGCCATGGTCCCCTGAACAAGTGAGGCTCCAGTAATTCCATTTAACAGATGATGCAACAGAAGCCAAGAGAAGTTGGTGACTTGGCTAAGGTCATGACCTTGAATCCTGATGCTGCCTCACCATTCCATCCCCTATCCAGGACTCTTGTAGACAAGAGCAGCTCTTTTTTTAAAAAAATATATTTGTATTGATTTCAGAGAGGAAGGGAAAGGAAGAGAGTGATAGAAACATCAATGATGAGAGAGAATCATGGATTGGCTGCCTCTTGCACATCCCCCACTGGGGATCGAGCCCCCAACCCCGGCATATGCCCTTGACCGGAATCGAACCTGGGACCCTTCAGTCTGCAGGGCAACGCTCTATCCACTGAGCCAAACCAGCCAGGGCTCAAGAGCAGATCTTCTGACAAGGTCTGGTGTCAGCCAGGACAATTTTATTATCTGGATAATTGTGAAAAGTCGATTCTCTGGGCAGAGACCTGGCAATGTTAACTTTCACTGTTGGTTTTGTGAAGAGTAAAGTAGGGAGAAGGCAGCAGTTTTGAATTTGATTAGGTCTTTTGAGTATCCTGGGTGACAAATACCATCAGCATCCTTCAAAATCATTTCCAGAAAAACACTGATGATGGTGAAGGCTTTGCCATCATTTAGGACCTGCAGGGTGATGGGGATAGCAAACATCTTGCTCCTGAAGCTAACCAACACTTCTCTCATTTTGTTGTTGTTAATTCTCACCCAAGGATATTTTTTCCCATTGATTTTTAGAGAGAGTAGAAGGGAGGGGGAGAGACAGAGAGAGAAACATCCACTGGTTGCCCCTCTCATGCGCCCCAACTGGGGCCAGGAATTGAGCCTGCAATCAAGTTAAGAGTTCTTGAGGGGAATCGAACCCGGGACCCTTCAGTCCACAGGCCCATGCTCTAACCACTGAACAACTGGCTAGGGCTTGGTGTCTTTGTTTTAAATGTGGTCCTGTGTGTGTTCTGAGCTAGTCGAGGCTCCAGACATATATTTTTTAAAAAATATTCTCTCTCATCATTGATGTTCTTCCACCCTCTCCCTCTCTTTTCCTCTCTGAAATCAATAAAAATATATTCAAAAAAATCCTCAATGGATGTTTTTAGAAATATGGGATGTGGCCTCTGTTTGTGCTCTCACCCGAGGCCCCGTAAATGTCAGGCCAGGCCCACAAGAGGGTTGTCAGGACGCAGACTTCCAGTGCCCATCCTGGACTTGGGGCTCAGAGCTTTAGGGGGACAGCGGGGAGTCTGCACTTGAGCCTGCTTTCTGGGGGGTCATTTCAACCTACTTTCCGGGCGATGCCCTGTGCCTGCAGTTGCAGAGCCAGTGCCTGAAGGTCACTCGAAGAGAGTGCCACAAACCCTCTCATTTCCTCTTGGCAGGCTGGGGCTTCAGCATGGGCACCCACTACCACTACCACAGCTGGAGGGTGTTTGTCATCGTCTGCGCTCTGCCCTGCACCGTGTCCTTGGTGGCCCTGAGGTTCATGCCCGAGAGCCCACGGTTTCTGCTGGAGGTGAGTCAGCGCTCCTGCCCCCAGTCGGAGCGGCGGTGAGACAGCGCCCGGAGCTGGCTCTGCATTCTCAGCCCTTTAGACCCTCGCCCTCGCTTGCTGTCTGTGATGGTGGCTTGCCCTGGACTCATGG